AAAAAAAACACTTTTGCAACTATGACCATCCACAATATCCCAGCATTTTAAAATTGCTTAAAAAGGACATGGAAATGAATAAAGTTTAGTTTATTAATTTATAAAACAAAACAACAGCACTAATCTGCTTATCGAAACTCAAATTGGAATCAAAAATGACACCAAGATTTTTTACGCAGTCATGAACATTTGAAGATAGAGAACCAAACTAATTAACTATGTCAGAGGTCATATCTGGTGGGGCGAAGATAACAATTTCGGTTTTGTCATTGTTTAGCTGTAAGAAGTTCATGTCCATCCAACATTTTATGTCACACAGGCAGTCAAACAGGCCAGACACAGAACCATTCTTATGGAACCATTCTATTCTCTCTTACTGCGATGTCATTTCTATTTTATAATAAATGCTGTATTGAACTTTCTATTCATAAAAAAATTTAAAAAATTTAACGTTTCCACAAAAATATGAAGCAGCACAACTGTTTTCAACATTTATAACAATCAGAAATGTTTCTTGAGCAGCAAATCAGCATATTAGAATGCTTTCTGAAAGATCATGTGTCACTGAAGACTGCAGTTATGCTGCAGAAAATTCAGCTTTGAGCACAGGAATAAATTACATTGGGAGGACCCAAAGTAGTGTTAATTTTGACAGGCATTTTTGATTTAGTCTTAGTTTTTTATCTTGAGACAAAAATGCTTAATAGTCTTAGTCACATTTTAGTCATTTGAGTCTTTCATATGACTTTCGAAAAGTCATTGCAATTTTGTCAACTTTTAGTCATTACTTTTAGTCAAACTGCAGTTACCAACATTTATTTTGGAAGCTATTTTATATTTAGTCTTCAAACTAAAATAGTAATTAATTATTTTCTTATGAGAAATTCGAATCAAGAATTGAATTTGGAAAAACTTGAATAAAGGATGACAATTTTCATTTTTGGGTGAACTATCCCTTTAACAGTAGTGAAAAGGGAGCAACTTATAAAAATTATAGCTGTTCATATATAATATATATAATTTATAATTTTTGAAAAAGCAGCAGAATAAGACAATAAGACAAATACGAAAGAGAAACAAATTAAACTAAATTTTTCAGATTCAGCAGGTTTACTTAACATATTTATTTAACATATTTTGTTGGTTAACGACACAGATAGTTACTTAATTAGGAATGCTGTCCCTTTAAGACGGAAGGCATGCATGTAATACTGACACACATTCAGTTTTCACCCACTTGTTTACGTTCACTTAATTCATAACCGACTGTATTTACGTGAGATACTCTACACCAGTGGTTCCCAATCGTGGTCCTAGTGAACCCCCAACACTGCACGTTTTTGGTGTCTCTCTTATCTGACACTCACATTTGAGGTCTTGGAGTCTTCACTAATGAGCTGATGAGTTGAATCAGGTGTGTTTGAATAGGGAGACATCTAAAATGTGCAGTGTTGGGGGTTCTCCAGGACCAGGATTGGGAACCACT